CTTTAAATACACAGGTATAAATAAAACAATGCGCAGATAAAACTTTCTATAAATGGATGAAATTAACTTGATAAAACGTATAGGTAATCATTTTATTAGAGTTATGAGTGTATATGATTGTCATTTGTATAATGATTTTCCTGTTATAATACATTTATACATACATTTTAATAAACTGATAAAAGAAATATAACAGTTTAGGAAGGGAGCAAAAAAAAAATAGTTTTAAAGAAACATAAAAACTCATCATTTCAGTTTACGTATTCAGAAATACAAGCTTGTAACTGTAGAGAAATAACTGGTCAATTATTATGAATATTTTAATTTTGGGTATTTTAGAGTAATGTGTCTTAAATCTGTGAATCAGAATAAATAAAGTTATCTAAAATAATAGGACTTATTATATACAGGGTGTCCCGTATAAGAACCGACACAGGGTAGGTGCATGTAGGGGTGTAAAATATTGTAATTTAATCAAACTTACCTATATATAAAGATGCACTCCTGAGGAGTTATTAGCCCCAAAGTGGGGCCCCAAATTTCGAAAATAATTAATATTTCTGCTACACTTTACCGTAGAAGAACCAAATTTGGTACATGATTTAGGTTTATTACTGATCTTCTTTGACTATGATTTAAAGTTAATTGAAGCACTACAAGGTGTTCATTGGGGATGACTCACCCCTAAAATTGTATCGAACTTTTATTTCATTGACCGAATTGAAAAAATAGTAATATTAATTCACAGTAGAATTTAATTTTAATTTTTTTACTCTTTAAAAAACTTTATGGTTTTCTAGAAAAACCGTATTAACTGACACAAGATTTTAAGAGTGTTCATTAGAAAATTATCAAAAAGTCAATACCTAGTAGGGTTTATCTTTCAAATTTGACAATAAATTTTACTTCACCTCTCTCCTAATTCTACAAAAAGAAAACAAGTACCTGGGTAGTTTTTAAATAAGCGAATATTGTATTAAGTAAAACATACAAATAAATAATAAAAATAATAATTGATATTTTTTCAACAACAATCAGAGGCAATCGTTGAAATAAAATAATTTTAATACTAACTGACAAGTTTGAAAGATAAATTCATTACCTACTACAGACTTTTCGATTATTTTCTAATAAACACTAAAAATCTCGTTTCAGTTAATACGGTTTTTCTTGAAAACCATATTTTTTTAAAATTTAACAAGAGTAAAAAAATTTTTAAATTAAATTCTGCTGTGAATTAATATCATTATTTTTTTCGGCCAATGAAAAAAAAGTTCGATACAATTTTAGGAGTGAGTCATCCCTAATGAACACCTTGTAGTGCTTCAATTAACTTTAAATCATAGTCAAAGAAGACCAGTAATAAATCATGTACTAAATTTGGTTCTTCTGCGGTAAAGTGTTGCAGAGATATTCCTTTTTTTTTGGAAATTTAGGGTCCCACTTTGGAGGCTAATAACACCTCAGGAGTGCACCTTTGTATATAGGCAAGTTTGGTTAAATTACAATATTTTGGACACCCCTTCATGCACCTGCTCTATGTCGGTTCTTATGCGGGACACCTTGTACATTTGTTTTAGAATATACAACACTTAGTATGTGTGTGAATATGTTTTAAATTAATTGATGATTGATGATAAATTTGTACTTAATGATTTCGCCTTAGTATCGTCTTATTTTCCACTCTCCAGAGCGAGCTCTATCCGCAGACAAAAAATTTGTTTGTTTTTTCTTTTTTTATATATATTCATATATGTATAATTTGGTTTTTGATTCTGAACTTTAATAATCAAATGAAAACACGTGGATATATCTTACAAAAAAATTCGATAGAAAACGAAACGGCACAAATATCTCCAATACCGGTAGAGGTAGGTATAGGGAACCTATACACAGTTTGAAAGAGTTTTGAATTTCCTAACTTCCAAAAGTAAAAATATACTGGGTGTCCCATTTAAAATAACCAAGTTATTGCTGTTTAAAATTGAGAAAATTATTCAGTAGTTTTTTTAACACCCTGTACAATACCAAGTGATGACAAATATAATAATTTATAACTTTAAGGATCTAAAATACACTCTCCAAAACTGCTTCCTTAAAATAATTTTTTTATTGCAAATATTAAATTTCAACGCTAACCCTGCATTTTACAGGAAAACCTAGAAGACATCGAAGATGAGGCGAAATTTGGTCAAACGTGAAGGTCACTCTATCCATTTTCTTCGACCTACAATCGAATAGTTCATTATGAATTTTTACTGTCCGGTCGTACTGGTAACAAGGAGTAGGTACTACCCACACGTTTGCCCAATTTGCGTGAGGCAATCCGAAGAAAACGACAAAGACACAACTTAGGCCAGGAAATATAGAGTTGGACGCGACTTTTTGATTCGGCAAGCTAAATTTATCACTATAGATGCTAAATATTATGTACAATAACATATTAGTTTCCGCAGTCATAAAAATGGAGGGAAGATTGTTTACAGAGTGGTTAATTGTATTAATTTTATGTAAATTCACGTTTTTCGCTTATAACTTTTTTCGTTCATTTCTACGAGAAAACAGTAAAGTACTTTTCTTTTCGTTTTCAAAAGACCTACAAAACTAGCACTCGAGCGTCAAAAAATATTGATTAGATCAAAAGTTATAAACAGAATAAGTTTATTTATGACTTTTGAATTAAACATTTATAAACTGCGTTATTATTACCAGAATGTTTTTTAATAAATCACACGAAATCTGGAATAGGTAAGTTGAATAGTTTACAACTTATGGCCTTATAAACAAATTAACTAATTATTAGTCTGGACGATCCCGAGGATCTTCCACAATCGCAGTGATTTTTTTCATGGTAGATTTCATAATAGTACATTGAAATCTCATTTTTTTTAAATTTCAAATTTGCAACCTGGATCTTTTTTTATTTTTTAGCCTTAGTTGCAAAATGAAATATACGAAGAACGAGCGTGATATATAACTCCGTTGTTTTTCAACGACTCTTGACGATTTTTTTTAATTTAAAGCTCTTTTCATAAGCCTTCCGAATATGTAATAATATATGGCTATATCACGCTCGTGAAATTTCCAGGTTGCAAATTTGAAATTTAAAAAAAATTATAGATTTCAATGTATTATTATGAAATCTACCATGAAAAAAATCAGTGCGATTGTGGAAGATCCTAATTTGTTTATAAGGCCTTAACTTGTAAACTAATCAACTTACCGATTCCAGATTTCGTGTGAGTTATTAAAAAACGTTCTGGTAATAATAACGCAGTTTATAAATGTTTAATTCAAAAGTCATAATTAAATTTCTTCTGTTTATAACTTTTGATCTAATCAATCTTTTTTGACGTTCGAAGCGAAAAACGTGAATTTACCTAAAAATTATACAATTAACCACCCTGTAAACATTCTTCCCCCCATTTTTATGACTGTGGAACCTAATATGTTATTGTACATAATACTTAGCATCTATAGTGATAAATTCAGCTGGCCGAAACAAAAAGTCGCGAAACGGTCATTTCCCAGCTTATTTTCCTGGCCTAAACTTTGCACCACGACAAGCACCGACGCATTCTTCTTTGCTTATCCACAGTACTTGGCGAAACACCGTTGCGTTGTATTGCAGCAACCACCCTATTCTACAGACGTGACCCTGTGACCTTTTCCTGTTTCTCAAAATCAAAAGAATACTTAAAGGACAATGTTTTTCAACACTAAATGAGATAAAGGCAAAATCGCAAGCCATGCTCAAGACGATACTTAATGAGGCGTATCACCAGTGTTTCTCAAACTGAAAACTACGTTGGCATAAGTATATAATATCATAGGGGGCTACTTTGAAGGGGATCAGGTAAAAATTTAAAATTAAATAAATAGGTACTTTATGAAGCAATTAGCAATTTCCGTTACTATTTGATTAAACCTCATATTTTTTATTCATCTGCTTTTTTCTCATAGTGAGATTTTTAGTTAGTCAAAAATAGTTTAATGAAAACATACGCTGACCCTTTTTGGTGTTAGAGTTTATTAAATTAAATGTAAATTTTTTCATAACTTTCATAACTAAAATATCTAAATAATTAGAGGAACAAACTAAAATTATGACACAAAAATTTCTGATATTTTCATAATTACAGTCGATTATTATATTATATTATCTCATGTTTTGCAAGTACAGTCGTCTGTCAATAAATTCTATCGACATTTATCTTGAATCATATAAATCCATACAGTTAATCTCCTCGGGTAACATGGCAGACACTTCAAGGCCACCAATAAGGATACACCGAGATCAAATGTGCCGACAATACATTTCCCTACTGATTGTTGTTTACTGGACCGCTACTATTGGTCATTGTTTATATTAACGTTTCAGAAGATAACACTACGAAATTTAATGAATATTCGTAAATTTATGTCTGTCTTCATGATACTTTAATATTATTTTGAGAGATTTCAATGACACAAGATAAACAAAAAAAAATTATTATTATTATTATGCCATTTATCGACTTATCCTTATTAATTTTTTTATATAAAATTTCTCCTAAGGGAAACTCTGTTGCAAAAATTATTTTAAATTTTGATATTCTGTAACATCAAAATATGTTTTTTCTTGTAAATTTGACAAAATTCGGCCAATAGTTTCAGTTCACATTCTATACAGAGTGATTCAGAACTTATTAAAAAAAAAATCTGGATGTACACCCTTACAAATATAGTTTTGTAAAGAAAAAATCAAAAAGGGCAGTTCGAAAATGATTTAAAAAAACACTTCTGCACGGCACTGGTAACTGGTCCACTGTAAAACCTGACCTCGCACAATGCGACCGGCATGGCGGTGTGATAAAAACGGACAAAAACTTTCACAGGGAAAGAAATATATAAATAGAATTTTATCGCACCTATTTTATATCGGCAAATTCAACTGTTTTTGCTTTTATTAATTAATAAAATTAATTTGTGTTTTTAAATAATAAAATCATTTGACATACCCGATGTTACAACAATTGTTCAAAATTTTATCCACCAACGTGTAAACACACTTGGGTCCATCTTACTCAGTTTCTACGAACCAACACAAATGTTGTCTTGCTTCACCATATAAATTAAAACGATATCCATCAACTCCGAATTGCTATACATGCAAACCATTTTTGACACTAACTACCCAATTTTGACACTAACTACTGAAAAAAAAAAATTGTAAACACCACAGATAACAGGTAAATATTATCGCAACGACGATTGCAAAATCCGATTTCAGTATTCGGAGTCGCTGAAGCCACGTGGCTCTCAACGCGTATTGCGAATGACGCTAGAGACTACAGTTGTCCAGCTATGCAGTGGTATGTACTATAACTTCAATAATTTTTTTCTCGGAAACTATAAGGATTTTACAAAAAATTTGTTTACTATATTGACTCCATTTCTCATGCCGCATCTATTCCCAAATTTTTTTGGATAAGTTGTGAATTCTCCTGTATAATTCAATAATATTAATATAATGATATTAATAAGAAATATTATAATCTAAAATTTAAATACAAATCTACAATGGGGACATGAAATCACTGAGGTCGTGACCCGACCATTTTAAATTTTCCTGAATTTTTGGTATTATTTAGTAGGTAGGTACTCATTTAGAGTAGGTAGGTTTAATGAATTTTTAATTCAACCTCTCAAGCATTTGAATATTTTGGGTAAAAAGTTTTCAAATGCCCGTAACTTGGCAAAAATTATATCAATTTTTTTTTCATTTTGTTCGTTTTGGGATGAAAAAATATATAAAAATAATACATTTTTAGCTTTTTAAGTTTTTTTATTATTAAGCCCAAGAAGTGCTTTTTGAAAAAGAGTGGTGTTTTGTTTTCTTCGAAAAATTCTCAAAAAAATCGTCTTTCAATATGCAAATTTATGAGACCGGTACTAGTGGGATCTTCTTTTATTCTATTTTTTTCAAATGCCCAGAATGCCTCATATGGTTTTTAAATAAAATAATGCTTTTTCCTTGCATCATAATCTTTTGAGAACCATAATTTTAATGATTAATTTTACTTTTAGATAGAATGTCTTTATCCAGTAAATATATTATATTCCTGATTTCAAAATAACATTTTAAAAAAATTTAAAACAAATAAAATGATAGAAAAAATAATAAATTTAGTGAATTTAAATTCAACAAATTTAGCAGATAGTCTCTGCTTGGACGTCATTTCGGGAGTTCCCCCATTGTATTTATATATTTTTTTATGGTAGAATTAAAATAACTTACCTATAAAGTTAGTTTAACTAAAATCCACATTTACACATACAGCTAACAGATTTGATGAAGCTAATATATCCGATATTAACAATTACTTTACCCCACCTAAATTAAAAGTACCTATTGAAACCTTTTAGATGTCTTGAAACTAATTTACAACGGACTGGAGTACTTAACTATTGTTAATGCGTCCGAGGTCTGATATTTTTATCTTATCTATGTTTAGTATAAAAACGCTAGGGACTGCAACAATATTCAGAATAGATCATAAACGAATGTCCAAATTGTGCGGTATGCTTCGTTGTGTCACCATCATTTTTAATTAGAAATAAACAGTGTGTTCAATTTAAGGACTTCACCTGCAGCAATATTTTAGGAATTTTATTTTATTTCAGATTATGAAATTACAAAAAAGTTTTCAATAGATTCCTACTCGGGGTAACCTAAACCAATAATTACTAGTTTTCGTCGTACCTACCAGCAGTGCGCTTCGAACGATTATTAATAACAGATTTATAGATATCCATAAGATATATTTTTAAAGAATTTAGTTTTTGGTTTGCGCACGAATATTCACATAAACTTCTTAAAGCCGGACGTATTAATGACATCGAGCATATCTAAACACTTTAACATTACAGGTCTGTTCCAACAAGAGTCAGGGATTGGTTCCGAACCGTTTGAAATGTTTGGCCAGCTAAGTTCTAGATGTGTTTTCGGTGAATATATCGCAAGAATTAGTTGGATGCACATTTCGAACGGTTCGGAACCAATTCCTGACTTCTGTTGGAACAGACCTTACATTTTTATCTCTTACTATAGACCAGGCAATAAAGAGAAAAATATCTAGATTTTCGCGGCCCGGTCCGATTTTATTGCGGTTTTTTGCATTTTGTTCAGAAAGACCGTCGGAAAAAAAGTCCCGCCTTTTTTATTATCCGGAAGTGGCGGAAATGCATCGCGGGTGCATAAAGTGCATCTAGAAGTGGATCGCATCCGAGAAACTTGCCAAAGTGCACAAAATACCGCAAAAATTGGTACTCGGGGGTTTTGGGGGGCGCAGAATTCGAATATGCATATATCCAGTCCACCCGACCCCCCGGGGGGCGACTTCCCGCCGCCTGGAGGGCGCGGGGGGCACGTGGATTGCAACGTTCTCCGAATGATTGGATAAATGGATCACGGGGGTTTTCGCGGGTGCTGATTCCAAATTCGAGGGTGAAAAATATCCCCTGTGCTCGTGGAGGGGGCGGTGGGGGGTAGCGGGGGGTTATAATATTCATGAACTGGTAACATGGAATAATGAGCATTTTAGGGATAGAAAATTATAACGTGTGATGTTAGTGATATATTAAGACAGTCAGACAAAGCAGACGCGGATGTGGATATAGTGCTTCAGGCCAAAAAGACTGCTGAGCACCATCCGGGCAATGTCATTGTGGTTTCAGAAGACACAGACGTGCTGACTCTACTTGCAGCTCTCTCTCCAGACGAACCAGAAATTTTCTTTTTAAATCCCCCTTCCTCGAAGAAGCCTGGGGTCGTGTACTCTTCAAAGAGTTTATCATCAATGCATGAAAGCATAAAATCAAACATTCTGGTCCTGCATGCATTCAGTGGATGCGACACCACATCAGTCTCATACTATCGAGGCAAAGTGGCATTTTGCAGGTTGTTTGAGAAGTCTTGCGAACTCCACCATTATGCAGAGAAATTCAAGGAGCAAGGTACAACAGTGATGATCTCTTGGAAGCAGGGATTTATCTCGCTCTGGCACTGTACGGTGCGCTCGCCAACTTCCGCAAACAGAAATGTACGGACATTTACGGAGTTGGCTGAAAAATATCATTTGCGTATGTACACGGTGGCTGCTACTAAATCTAAAGGAAAAAAAAGACGTTGATTTAGCCAAAATATTTCCCACCGTCGATGCATGGAACCAACATTTCAAGAGAGTTTACTTTGAAGTGCAAACGTGGTACGGTGCGGGGATGGAAGCTTCACGATGGGGAGCTCGAACCAGTAGCCATGACGCAGGATTCAAATCCAGATTCACCTCTGAAAATGATTTCCTTCTCTTGCTCCATTGAAACACGCTGTGGGTTAGTGTAGATGTAGAAAAAATAATGTTCCCTGAACCATTGCGTGCGAAAATTGTTTCGGTACCACCTGTACCAATCCATCAAGCGAAAACGCCGAAGAGCTCGAGGAAGAGGAGGAAGAGGAGAAGGGGGAGAAGGAGGGGGAGGAGGAGGAGGAGGAGGAGGAGGAGGAAGAGAACGAGGAAGATGAAGATAATTTTGATTGGTATTTATAGTTGTTTATACAGTTGTTTGATAAATAAGCCCGTGTGACAATTAATACAGAAGGAATATATTTTTCCAGTTATTCGGAGAAATTTGCAATCCACGTGCCCCCCCGCGCCTCCCAGGCGGCCGGAAGTCGCCCTACGGGGGGTCGGGTGGACTGGATATATGCATATTCGAATTCTGCGCCCCCCAAAACCCCCGAGTACCAATTTTTGCGGTATTTCGTGCACTTTGGCAAGTTTCTCGGATGCGATGCAATTCTAGATGCACTTTATGCACCCGCGATGCATTTCCGCCATTTTCGGATAATAAAAAAGGCGGGACTTTTTTCCGATGGTCTTTCTGAACAAAATGCAAAAAACCGCATTAAAATCGGACCGGGCCGCGAAAATCTAGATATTTTTCTCTTTATTGCCTGGTCTATACCTTTTGACGATTTTTCAATTTCCTTCCTACATTTTTTTTTCTCTATCTCTGCTTTCCCCCTCCCCTCTTTCTTTACCTTCTCTTGTTTTTCCATTTTGAAAAGGTCTAATTCTGAAAATAGTCTGATCAGTTACTTTTTCATAAACTGCGCATATACTGTATGTTACAATTAAAATTATCCTCCCCAAATAAGAATACAAAATAAAATAAACATAGAAATACAAAACTAATATTGATTGATCAGGTTTTGATTATTCTAAACCATCAGTTCCGGAAAAATTGACTATTTAAGTTTGACAGATATTCAGAAGGCGGTCAGGCAAATATTAGGTAGATATAAGATTAGTCAATTAATGCACATCTGTTACATTTATCGATGTATCACCAGAGGCGTTATGTATACAGGGTGGCCAAATGAAAACGAAGCAGAGACATTTTCAGGAACTGCGTCAAGATTGTAAAAAAACGCTCAGACCCGTCGATTTTATATTAAATGGGGACATTCTTTGCTGGTATTTTTTACTCCGCCACTTTCACGACCAAGCAAGGGTAAGCATCACCCCAAAATATTTAAATGCCATTGGGGGCTGAGTAATACTTCTTTTGAAAGCTCTTACAATTCTCTTTACAGACTTTAAATTTTATAATTCCGCCTAATACTTTGCAAACAATTTACATTTTAAAATTTAAATTATGTTTAGTTGCTTACTTAGTACTTAGTTGATTAAATGTTCAAACTGATGACCGCCCGCTTCCATACAAGAATAAAGATTTTGTTCGAAACGTTCGCGCACATTCCGAAGCATTTCCGGAGTGATTCGACGGCATTCGTCGACGATTCTTTGACGCAAATCTTCCAGCGACGCTGGCTGTGTTTTATAGATTTTACTTTTTAGGTATCCCCACAAAAAGAAATCAAGGGGCGATAAATCCGGTGATCGTGGAGGCCACTCAATGCTGCCTCTTCTCCCAATCCAATTCCGTAGAAAACGTTGGTCCAAATACTGACGGACA